TGCAGGGTGATTGAGCAACAGAGAATATCAGGTACAGTATATCAAGCTGTTGTGATTGATACTCTGTACCAGAATATATATATCAGATGTGATGCACTGATGCTTGTGTCCATTTCTGTGAAAGGATTGAGGTTACTTATAGGACAACCCTTGCTGGTAGTTCTTCGGTTAGGAAACATTGGAAAGTCAAAAAAAAGGTCTGCTGTGCATGCATTCCACTGCGTAGTTAGTGGGAGGCGACCAAAGTTGGGGGCCCCCTGCAGAATCTTGGGTTTGCATCAGTGTCCCAATGGCAATGTTTGTGATCTTGATATTTTCATTTTTTTCCTGCCAGCTCTTTTTTTCTGTGCTTTATTTTATACTCTTGGTATCCCTGAGCTTTACACCTGTCCTTAGGCTTAAAGGACACTGAATGTTGCAAGGATAGTATAACTTGATCAAAACTAATCAATACAAAACGTTCCGATATTTCTAATAAAATCAGACCTTGACTTGAAGGCCATGTAAAATCAATGATTGTATATGTGTAACTTGTAGTTTTTGTGTAAGGGAATGCTTTAATAACTTTGTTTAATTAGATTCACATAATGTAAATTGAATTAAAATTTGATGGCAACAAAGAAAAAGTTTTCACAGACACATGATGTAATCAAATTGGCACTCCATGGGGATGACCTTCTTTAAACCAATCAGACCTATATATATAATGTAACCCTAAGAATGTTACAAATGAATTTCAGCAGGCTTAAATAGTTAAATTCTTATAGACAAAAGAATATCAAAGTGAGTGCAGTTTTGTGACTTACAAAATGTATACATGTTGTGCTGATAAGAGTCAACCAACATGTACCACTTAATTAGCTAATAATTACTTATGATTACTTCTAAAGTAAATTTTTTCAGATGTTTTATATCCAAAATTATAAGTCTGATATATTGAATGCAACTTCCTTAGATTTCTATTTGTTTTCAGGCTTTATCAACTTCTTCATTCTCAGAATTTCACAAGTTAAGATCACTAATGATCTCTGATTTTGTAACCCTTGGACTTTCGAGACTGCCTCTTTTTGATGCAGTAATTGATGCTTTGATGGCTGTATTTTATGATATCAAATGGAATATTGAAGAGAAAAAATCATAAAAAAGAAAACGTACTGACAGGTATTTACTAGACTGTCTGATATTTTACTTCTGTGGCAGAACCAAATTATAAAGAAGATAGATATATCAATCACAAAAGCCTCCGATTGTATGATTTTCGATTTCATTTGGTGCTTGTCCAACCGTATTGCCTTCTCTAGCTTCTTCAGGACCAGTTGTCCCTCTTGGGTCCTATCTATCTGATTTGTTCTATTGCTCAATCACCTTGCATACCCTTAGGGTATCCAGCTTAGGAGTGAAGGAAACAACAACCCACCCCAATGGAAGAACGACGTTGGCCTGATATCAGAACTCTCAAATTATAAAGGACATACTCTGGACTTTCATTTGTCTCTCTGTGTGTCAATGTTTAAAGTTTATAAGCATAAAAGTATATATTGATAAGGCCAGAAATAATGTCATGGTGTTGACTCTTTGCATGAATAGTCTTGTGGTGTCTTAATTAACAGATTTTTAAAAAAAAGAAATTTTCAACTTTTGTCATATTTAAGACTTAAAATATGTGGTCATGAGGCAAGTTTCTGTAACTTCAGAACTTTAAGAACAAATTCAGTAAAATTTATAGGGTAATTAGTTTTTGCTTGACTCAATCACCCGTACTTGTAGAGTTTAATTGTAATGCGACAATGCATTGTGAAACCACTTTCTGTTAGTTTTAACATGTTTGTGATCAAAATTTTATCAAAATTTTCGTATTTATTTTGGTTTTTAATGCCAGAATTATTCCATTTATTTTTTAAATAACCCTTACAGACATATATTTAGAGGACACTAAAGATGTGAAAAAAAAGCCTAACATCTCAATAATTGAAAAAGTATAATGAATATCCTATTTCAAGTGAAAAGTAAACAAAATTTTACAGCTTTAAGTAACAGTAATACAGTGCTGTTTGATATTGATCCATTTGTGGTGCTCTAGATATATTGTTAAAGTTGTGTATATGTGCAAGGCTATATTTATTGCAGTCTCAAACATCAGTATTTTGCATACCATAGGAAAGAATTGTATTAACTAGAATTCTGTACAGCCAAAATTATTGAACTTCTTAGGTTGGAGACCTTGTTGACTACAGCTGATGGTCCTGTAGCTACATGTATACATATGACATGACTTTTCAAAGAGCATTACAAATTTTAAAGACAACTGAATATTTTTGTATTAAACACTGAAAAAAATTATAATTACAGTGGCCAGTATATCTGTTTTCATCAATTACATGTACACTGTAAGACTGTAGAATTAAAACTCATCTCTACGTATAAAAGTGAAGATTGAGGTTGAAGTCAGCTTGAAGATATGTAGTTATAGAAGAACTAGATTTTATGTGATGTCCCATGTGTGATATTTTATTACCCCGGAGTTGATATATTGGGAAAAAAGTGATATTTTAATGCAGAACCCTCTCTTGAAGACTAATGTATCAGTGGGTATGGTATTACTAGAATCAGACAGAAGTCCTTTCCTATAATACATATTTCATATTTTTGTTATTCTGTAAATTACTTCTTCCAAACAGCATAGTTAAACATTGATTAGTGTTGCATGTGTGTGTCAAGTGATTGTCTTATTCTTCAGGGCTAAATGGTTTCATTGCTACATTAACAGTCCTCTGGCAAAATATTGCCAAGTGATCGACAGATTCCAACACTGAGGGCTTCATATATTTTACATGTGTTGTGATACAATCATATATGTTTAAAGAACAACGTACATAATACAAAATGTGGATGATTGGACGGAATTAATCTGGCTAAAGGACACGCTGATATATGCATCATCTTGAGAGGCCAAGGTGTTTACACTTTTATAGTGCTGTAGACCTGAATTAGTCGTTGTGACTTACCACTACAGATATTAACAGTAAATATGACCAGACAAGGTTTAGGAGGATTTATTGGTTTATATGTTTCTAGATACATCATCATCTTCACAACAGTGTCTGGTCATACCTACCGTTAACATCAGGTTTATGTTTCTAGACAGGTCATCATCATCTTCACAACAGTGTCTGGTCATATCTACCGTTAACATCAGGTTTATGTTTCTAGACAGGTCATTATCATCAGAACAGTGTCTGGTCATACCTACCGTTAACATCAGGTTTATGTTTCTAGACAGGTCATCATCATCAGAAACATCAACACTTTTAGAAGATTTTCTGTCAGATTTTGGATCTCTTGTTCTTTATACAGTCCATATGTAACCCTGGTAAAATACTACCCGCAAAATACTGCTTGGCTAGAGAGAACTTCTCTTTAGCTCGATTGGTTGAGCATAAATACAGGGGTTCGGCAGAGCCATGGAAATAAATAATGACCTCTGTTACATTGGCTTCTCTTTTATTTCTACCACTGTGACCCTTGGTTTATTTCCTGAGTATACAGGCTAGAGAGGACTTCAATTGGTTGAGTGTCAGACAAGTAATCCAGGGTGCTGGGTTCGATTTCTGGCTGAGGCATCGAAATAAATTATGATCTCTGTTACACATATATTGTAAATGATTAAGTATCTGTGTGATACATGCATAAGTCCTGTAAAAGTGTCTGTTTGTCCTGTAATATCACCAGACCAGTCCTCTATTTCTCTGTCTACATAAATAACATGATTCTTTTTGACAATAAAAAGGAAGCCAGAATTTCTTTTATATATATCCTAGGTAAAACCTACTTTAAAAAAAGATTTCCCCATGGATATTTCCTTAGGTAAGAGCCTTACCCTATTTTCTGTTGACAACACATGGTTGATCTCCCTTATGTTGTTCAGTAAGGTAGCTACCAGCTACTATAAGGAGACCCCACCTCAAAATGACTGGCTGATAACAGGGCAAATAACCTTGAGCAAACAAACAAACAGTCGAAAGATCTACCTTATTTTCTGACATTTTAACAAACAGAAAGTTATGTGTTTATTATTTTTGAAGGATTTCACTTTCATGCATTATTCAGTATTGATACAGAATATTATGATTGAATATGACCATTGTACAAAATGTGTACATGATTTTCATCTTTTCAGAGCTCTGTTAACATGTTGCTATGGTTGTCTGTTATAGCTGCTGTCAAATTTTCATTTTCTCCATTGAATCTTAAAAGCTTGGTAATTTCTTGTGAAGTGACAGGCGTATTTACCTCATCAGTAAACTGCACTCAGGGGGTTCAAGGAGATTCCTTTAGCAGCAACTAAATGTGTCAGTCTTGATAACGTGATGAAAATTAAAATGTGTTAACCTTGTTTGCCTCAATGCAGCTCTCATTGTAAATATTGATTGTTTACCACATCAAAATTAATACTTTAGGTTTGTGTACGCAATATTATGTAACTTGGCAACATTTGCTGGAGAGTAGCAATAACTGCAGTGTTTTATAATGAAGTATTTAAGTGACTGTAAAAGGTTGCAGATTACAAAAGAATTATGTGATCTTGGTTAATAATGGGTGAAAATTAAAGGTGTTCGCTAGCCTAGAATGACATGACTGCATATTGCTACAATTAAGGTAGAGAGATAAAGACTTTTCGGTTTTCTATAGCTAGCCCCTATACTCAAGAAATAGACACGAGTCTTGTCTTCATGGTAGTTATCAAAAGAAAATATGTGACATTAATTAGTGATATAGATTAAGCATTGTATTATAAACCTGAGAAATTCAGTCTTTAAGATCACTATTTCTAAAATTTAGTTTCCAAGTAACCATAGTCCTAGTAATTAAATACGATGGATGACTGTCATGATATACCGGTAAGTGAACAACTAAACTAGATTGAATAAATATGTACAAAAATGTATACTGCGGTATTTTATATTGATAACCATGTATCATAACACCGTTTCTGTCTTTGCTTGCAGGCCACCATGAAGGCTGTAAAGTGTCCAACAGATGAATTGTCCTTGACCAATAGAGTCATCGTCAGTGACAAGGACTTTGATGAGAAAACTGTCAGGTACTGAAATCAGCTGACATACATGTATATTAAAAATTACTCTGATAAAATCATTTAAGACAGAAAACTTCAGTATGCATATAATGATCATGATAACTTTATTTTGACCCTTTAAATTTTCTGTGTATTTTCAATTTAGATTCTAGAATCATCTTTGATCTTTATATTTTAGGCTTTTCCTAATTCTTGTGTAATACATCATTTTTAGCTCACTTGGCCCGAAGTGCCAATTGAGCTTATGCCGTGGGGCAGTGTCCATCCGTCATCTGTTGTTGGCATCAACTTTTTTCTTTAAACAACTTATTCTCAATAACCACTGGACCAAATGTATTAATATTTCGCTGGTTTGTTCCAAGGATAAAGCCCAACAAAGTTTGCAAACAGAAATGACCTTCACATATATTCAAGGTCACAGAGGTCAAATTTGCTGTTATATATACCAGGTGAATGCTGCAGGCCCATTGGGCCTCATTGTAAAACAATGTGAAGTTTATAATCACTTGTGAATGTGATAATCTTACAAATTGTGTTTATTATCCGATAAACTCACCCGATTGACTAAAGGTTGTAAATGCCATGATATTTGGCTGAAAGCTTTCTTCAATGAATCCTGACAAATTCTGTGGAAAGAAATTATGAGAACTTGACCCATTTTGATGAAGTCATCAGCATGAAAAGTTAGTTTTCATGTAATATTTAGGGTCACAGGAATCAAATTTTACAAAACTTCCAATTGACTTAAGCTCAAGATTAGAATAAGGATATTTTGATGGTAGGTTCCTTGGAGGTAGCCCAATATCCAATGAGCTTGTGAAACAAATAACCATGACTTCTATTCCAGGTCGCATTTAGGGTCAACTTTGGCCTAAAGCCATCATGCTTCATCTGTTGTCGTCCACTGTCGGCCATGTGCCGTGCATAAACTTTTGACATTTTAAACTTCTCAAGTTCCACCAGTGGGATTGAGCTCAAATGCATGAAATGATCCTGAGATGGTCCTGACCAAGTGTTGTCATTTTCAGATATGTCTGAAATCCAAGATGGCCACCATGGCTGCCATTTTGAAAAACATATTTTAAACTTCTCCAGTTCCACTTGGTGGGAATGTTAAGGAAAGGTAGCCAAAAGTGTTGTTATCTTTCGACCTTGTCAAAACTTCATTTTGTAACATGATTGCGCAATCATTGTTTTCCTGTTCCATCACCTATTTCATACTTCTTCTTAAGTTCCATCAGTGGGATTGAGCTCAAACTTTTCTGTCAAAAAATAGGTAACACTAGTTATAGTTACCTACTCCTCACCAAAACTACCATCTGCATCATGGAAAACAGCTTCTTGGTAAGATTTCATTCAAAGTAGAAAAAAATAACCCTTCTCCCTGTTTAAAGTTTTTGTAGTCAGATGACCATTAAGGCTCATTGGCCTCATGTTAAAAGTTTCAATACCTCTTATTGATGAAAAGGTCTAGTACAAGTATCATGATATTTCTGCTGATACATGTAAGTTCCTTCATGCAGCCTGTCAAGTCATGGGTAACAAAGAAAACAACTTCTTTTAATTTACCAAAAGATAAATGTTTTTGATACTTGACTGAAGGCTTCATATAACTTTTCAATATCCAAGCCTTAATGTCTATGATGTGAAATGTTAAATGTATCTTGCAGCATTGAATACCAAATAAGCAATGCCGGATCATTGGGCCTCTTGTTGAGTCCAAGCTATACTTTAAGTGCTAATATGTTAGCTGTGAAATTTTCAGGTGATGATGATAACTGCCAGAGGACAATTTACTAAATTAATATGAAATAATAGCTAACTGATTTTATGTGTCAGCAAATTATATTAAAAAATACAGTGAATATGTGTAATTATTGTAATTTCTTTTACAGCCATGTTGAAATTCACTCCTCACCTGGCAAGTCCTTTGTATTCACTATCAAGACCTTCCCTCGTATGTCCCAAGGCACGATGGGCTTCAATTTACCACAGGTATGTATGATATCTATACTAAATTAGATCCTTTATCATGGGTTTCAATTTACCATATGGTAAATATATATTGTATAAAACCCATATGGTAAATATATATTGTATCAAACCCATATGGTAAATATATATTGTATAAAACCCATATGGTACATATATATTGTATAAAACCCATATGGTAAATATATGTTGTATAAAACTCATATGGTACAAATATATTGTATAAAACCCATTTGTATATATATTTTATAAAACCCATATGTATATATATATATATATATTGTATAAAACCCATTTATATATATATATATATATATATATATATATATATATATATAAATAAAACCCATGTGGTACATATATATTGTATAAAACTCATATGGTACATATATTGTATAAAACCCATTTGTATATATATTGTATAAAACCCATATGTATATATATATATATATTGTATAAAACCCATGTGGTACATATATATTGTATAAAACTCATATGGTACATATATCGTATAAAACCCATTTGTATATATATTGTATAAAACCCATATGTATATATATATATATTGTATAAAACCCATATGGTACTTAGAATTGGTCCTTTCACTTCTACTTTTCCATATGGTTAAAGAAATTGCCCGGCATCTGAATTGAATGCTGAATTGTCCAATGTCTGTAGTGTCCGTATTACACTCCCAATGTCCCATTTGTCGATAACTGTAGACTTTGGCGAGGCCATCTATAATAAAAAATGTTTGATATATGTACAAAAAACTGCTTACAACTTACTATTTGACTCAATACCAAACATTCTATATCGTCTAATTTCGACATTGCAATTTATTGATTTTTTTTTTATCATGGCTGTTTTCCAACATACTTTGTACTTCAAAGCAACATCATAGACATTTATCATGACAGCATGGCTGATTTTCACAGCTTTTTTCTGCTCACACAGAGACTGGCCTTATCATGGAGAAATTTATTTTTAATGTCAGGACAAATAATAAGCCAAAATAGAGCAGACTTTGGAAATAATAAGCCAAAATAGAGCAGACTTTGGAACTATCAAGATACGATTGGCTTCACAAATCTGACAATGTGCCAGTATTCTGGGGATTAAACACAGAAGTGGCACAAGCCAATTCATATCAACGGACCTGCTTTACATGGAACCCAAAACTTAGAATAGAATGTGTCAAGTTTCTTATTGCAACCAGCATACCCGTTGCATGTGCAAGACCCCCATTTCTTGTTTCATAAAGTAAAGACACTGTCTGATACTGACCAGTCATCAAAATCAAACATTTTACAGTACATCTCTGCCTCAACATTGAGTTCTCTAGGTATCCGTTCAACCTCATTCTTAATGCTTAATTTTATGCACAACTTGTAAATATCAAATGATAGTTTTTGCAACACTTTGGACATATTGCCTTAACTTACTATCCTGACCACAATTTGACTGTCTGTATAAACTTGAACATGTTTCCCTGACAAAATACTGCCCAACAAAAGCAGGACAATCTCTACAGTTCTTAACTCTTTTGGAGTAGAACTTTGTGACTTCTCCTCATTCCACATGAAATGTATCAAGTTGTCTGACCTTAAACCTGCCCCAGCTAAAGCAGTCGCATCTGTAAACACTATACACTCCGGCGTAATATGTTCTTTATTAACAGGGTTACTTGGAAAACTCTCAGACCTAAATATTAATTCATTTATTGCCTCGGATGATATTAAAGTTACTTGATCCCAAGAATCCCTTAGACATACAAGCATAGACAAATGCCTGTTCATTAGCTGATATATACTGCCTAATGCTGGCTTGAAGGATACTAGCTCTCTTACTACCGAAGCCATGTCTCTTGCCATTAAACAAAATTTGTTATTTTTGAACTTTCAATCATTTTAAAATTGAAATTATCTTTTTATTGGCAATTTCTAGATTCCCATTTTCCAAATTCCTCAAGAAACCCAACCAAAGGACTGAACTGTGATTTCTCAAAGTTTTTCTGCATTATGTTTTGGTTTTTGTGGCCTTCTTTTCTAGACGCTGGTTTTTAGACTTTCAGTTGTTAAAAAGAGACATTGTTCCTTGCTATCAAGGCCTATGTTGCTTACAAAATTTAATTAATGGCAGGTGATGAGTGTTGCATGCAACACTAACTGTAAGCTTGTTTTATATTATAGTATTTGTATTCATATGTCTGTATATTGTACAACACTTAATTTACAGTAAAGTAGAAAGGTTGCTTTTGTAGTAAAATACCTAACTTGCCCTGATTTTGTGTCCCTTCAGAGGAAATGGGCTTCTATCTCACTCAGCCAGGAGCTGTCGGTCAAACCAGTCAAATTTAATCCACGCACTGACAGTATTGGAACAATAACCCTGGAGATAGATTTCCTGCAGCAGAAGATGTTAGTATACAGTAGTGTAGACTGTAGAATGAGTCATCAATGCAGACTGGAATACTGGACAAATTACCAAAGAATTATTTTACAATATATGGCTAACTGGAAAAATTACCTGTAGATAATTAGAAACTATGAACTATTTCTAGTAACGCTTTTTAGAATGCACTTAACGTTTGTTTTTGTAAACAGTATATACTGATGTATGGTGATGCAATATGTCTTAATTTTAATCTCCAAAAGTACATATTAATGATGTTTTTGTTTGCTGAATGTTGTCACTGTTGAGCTGAAACTTGTATCCTTGTATTTCCAGGGCTAATTCTGACCCATATGATTCAGACAAGATGGCACAGGAGTTTCTTATGCAGTTTGCCAACCAAGCTTTCACTGTAGATCAGTTCCTGGCGTTTAGCTATGCTGAAAAAAAGATGCTTGGGGTCTATATAAAGGAAATTGAAGGTACAATGTCAGCAATATAGTGAAGTGTTGTGATTTTACAGACAAACGTTTTGGTTATCTTCTAGAAGCGTACATATATAAGCAGTAATCTTATTTGTAGCCCTTTTCACAATAAAAGTATTTAAAAACTTCAACATGATTGCACTTAAAACAGTTTCAGTATGTTTCTGTATAGGATATGTTTTGGATGTGTACATTTTTCATAAATTTGGACTAATTTGTCAAAAAATAATCATGCACTTTACACATATTTGTGCCGAACTAAATATATCAATTGTATTTCAGTTAATTTTTTTTTTTAAAGAAAACTCTTTTCATTGATTAGAAATAAGAAGTTTGATGTTTTCAGAATAGCACATTATGTTTGTATAATAGTATCAGGATTAAAAAAGGTAGAACAAGATAGGTTGTATTTTATATTCGGAGTTATTTTCTAATACACTTGGATCAACTTGAAGACATTCTTTGTTAATTTGTTTTACAGCCAATGATTTTACCCAAATGAAAGATGGGGCTCCTACATCGAAAAAGGTATAGAAAATTACTAGTGAATCATCAGTACATTCCAGTATCAATTACCTAAAGTCACAAGGGTCTTGACTCAGATTCAAATACAAGGCAACCTGTTAGTGAATAGAAGATATTTATCTGTGAATGTTATTTACATTATAGGTCATTATTTTCATAGATTAAAATGTTTGTTGAGTTTATCGTCCCCAGGATGGTTTTAAGGCAGGGTCTCCTTGTAATATCTTATGACTACCTCACTAAATAATTTACAGGAAGCCATCTAGAGATGCCGAGATCAAAGTCTTTTGGCAAGATGACACTCTACTCTCTAATTCCTCAGGATAATATGTGACAGGCCTACATCATGTTCTTCAGGTAGTTAACAACTACTATGAGGAAACTTTGTCTTAAAATGGCCTTGACAGTTGATATATGAATAAACAAATATAGTTCTTATTAATGACAGATAATGAAAATGATTGTAACAATTGTTTTGTTTACAGACTAACCTTGGAGTGTTGACGCCCAATACTGTTGTCCTGTTCGAAAAGGCTGAAAACTCTACACTTCATCTTACTGGAAAAGCCAAAACGTAATTTTAATGAAAGCTTATTTATTAATGATAAATTACATAAAAGACTAATGTACTTTTAAACACTAATATTGATACTTCATGTACAAATGTCAAACATATTTTGGAACTAAACTGATCACACTAAAGACAGAAAAAGCCGAAAGATTAACACATGGTATTCATAGGCAATAATGGTGATAAGTCATGTCTGTTTGAATTTTGCTTTACTTAGACAAACTTATTTGATTTATCTAACTTGACTTTCAGTCCTTGACAGTCTTTTGCTGTCTAAAACAGTTAAATTAAACCAGACGTTTACTGAAATAATAGTGTTTGTTTGAGTTGTTTTGTTCTCCCTTCCTTTATCTTTTTCTCCACTCATTTGTCTGTCTGTTTGAGGTGTCTGTTTCTCCTCTCGTTTGTCTGTCTGTTTGAGGTGTCTGTTTCTCCATTCATTAGTCTGTCTGTTTGATGTGTCTGTTTCTCCACCCATTTGTCTGTCTTTCTCCACTCATTTGTCTGTCACATCTCACTTCTGTCTTTACAGAAAACAAGCTCACACATCCATAATCAATCCTGACTGGAACTTCCAGAAGATGGGCATTGGTGGTCTGGACAATGAATTCTCCGCTATCTTCAGACGAGCATTTGCATCCAGAGTGTTCCCCCCAGAAGTCATAGAACAACTAGGTAATTTTGAAGATACTCGCTGGTCTACAGTTCATAATTGTGGTGATTGATGTATACAGGGAAGAACTCACCAAATCTTATATCTGCCTACACGTAGAACTATCGACTTCCACCAAGAATTGAATTTGCCTTTACAAACAATAAAATAATATGTTTCAGTTTAAAAATTAAATTTGAGCCCACTTTTTTGCATTATTGGAACAGGAGCTAAAAATGTGTTAAATGGTATCAAAATTTTCCTAATATAGAATACAAACATATAATTAGCCGATAACTAAGCTTTAGATACAGGTTGACACTGTCTCTGCCTCTCTGTCTGTCCTTCCATGTGTCTGGATAGCAAAACAATATCCTATAACCCGGATGTAAAAATTCACGACCCTGATGCTTGGAGCAACCAAATTTTCAGATTGGGCAAGTGGAAATTACAGGCCCACTAAACTTGGGCAAGTGACTTTCTGTAGACTTTTTTTCCCCAACAAATACTAAAGAATCTATAGTGATTTCTAATTATAACATCCAAAGCATATAACAGAAAAATTGTTTTCTTTAATCAGAAACTAGAACAATTTCATCAATAGACCGTTCTCAAGTTTATACAGATTTATTTATGTGCAATTTTCTTAGGTCTCTATTGAATTGTAAAAAAATGTGCATATTTGAATTAAAAGTTTATGTTAATTTTATTTAAAATAAAGGTTTGATAATGTGTGAAGTTTTATAATGTTCCAGGTATGAAACATGTCAAAGGAATACTCCTGTTTGGGCCTCCGGGAAATGGAAAGACACTAATGGCCAGGTGTGTTATCTGACATGCATTGATGATAATATGATTTGTGTTAGGGTACTATAAGCCATTTCAATATAAAATGACATGAGAGAGAAACATGGTTGTTGCTGACTATAGTAGACCAAATAAACCCATGACAAAACCAGGCACCAATCCAGCTTTCATATGATAGGAGTTATCTCCCCTCCTTTAGATCAGTCTTTTCACATTTTGCTTGGTTTAGGTAGTACTTTTTCTTTGAGTCAGTGTACATGTACACCAATACTGTGAGAGATGGAAAAGTGGGGTTTGGTTGATTACAGTCAATTAAAATTTGTTTTGTTTGATGCTGATACAGACAAATAGGAAACATGTTGAATGCCCGGGAACCCAAAATTGTAAATGGCCCTCAGATTTTGGACAAATACGTTGGAGAGTCTGAAGCCAAGATTCGGAACTTGTTTAAGGATGCAGAGGAAGAAGAGAAGAGAGTAAGTTACTTCTCTTGTAGTAAAATTCCAGATGAAGTGCTCTTCTTTGTAATCTGAAACTGTGCCAAAAGAAATCGTTTGAAGTAAAACAATAGATTGAAAAGGTTTGGTAGTTATATCGTGTATTAAGCTGGTTTTGAATTTTTCTAGATCAATTTTTTTCCCCTTATAGTTGCTTCTGATTGTATTCCCAATAGTAAAATTCTTTATTTTGACACATTTCTTGTTTTGTGTTTGAATAGTGTGGACTACACAGCGGATTACATATTATCATCTTTGATGAGATCGATTCCATCTGTAAATCCCGAGGATCTGTGGTATGTATAGACTTCTTTCTATTTTTTATTATGTTTTCTTGAGGTAATTCATGCTGATATTTAAATCTTTACCTCACTCAAACTTCATTTCATTTTCCAAAATCTTTTGAAGAATCATTTGTTTCCATGTGGTTCCTTTTTTGGGCTATGAAATAAAAATCAATATTTTGTGGATATGCACATAGCTCAATAAATCCACTTAAATTTACTAATCTTATAAGGTCTTTAACATATGAATTCATTGGTTGAGAATTGAATCAACAGAAATAAATCCCCCATGACTATTATATGATATGATTTTATGGTATAAAAATGTGCTTTGTAAAAGGGAGTTACTTGATTCAACTCTTGTTAAGAACATGTTCTTAATAAAAAAATAATGTTATTTGCATTGCTGATTTTGATAATCAGAAAAAAAATTTGTACCATTAAATGTATTAACCTTTCTCCACTTCCACACAGGCTGGTAACACAGGTGTCCATGATACTGTAGTAAACCAACTCCTGGCTAAGATAGATGGTGTAGAACAACTCAACAACATTCTGGTCATTGGTAAGTCTAACACAGCACCTTGGTCATTGTTAAGTCTAACACAACCTCCTGGTCATTGTTAAGCCTAACACAACCTATTGGACATTGATAAATCTAACACAACCTCCTGGACATTGGTAAGCCTGACACAACCTCCTGGACATTGATAAGTCTGACACAACCTCCTGGTCATTGATAAGCCTAACACAACATCCTGGCCAGTGTTTCTGTATATATATATCTTTATATTATGTATAAATCTTCTAAAGAATTGTGAAAACAAAGATTCTTGACCTATTATAAAGTTAAATAGGTCTGTATGCACTGTTAAAGATTTCAGCAAAATTTTAATGGTTCTGTTCATTCTAGAAACTAATTTGAATGTCTTTTATCTTGATCTAAGAACTGATCGTGCAGTTCTTCATATAAATTGTAGGAATTTTCTTTAAATTTTTTTTAATGGCTAACCAACTGTACAACCTTGTTTGTTGTTAGGGATGACCAATCGTAAGGATATGATTGACGAGGCTCTATTACGACCAGGCAGACTGGAGGTACAGATGGAAATAGGTAAATTCTGAATGATGAAGCAAGTAGATGATTTACTGCATATTGCAGCAAGGTGGATTTTGACCAAATTTGTCAGAAGCATCCTTGGGGGAAAAAATTTAAAGTACAAATTTTGTTTAGATATGAAAATTCTAAGTCATATACAGGATTTCCACAAAGTTTATTTCTCAAAGCATTCTTTATACCTTTAGACAGGGGAAGAAAATATCTGCAAATATATTATGCAACACAGTATTAGCAAGTTGTCTCATTTTGTGTCATTTTTTCTTCATCATTGTGAACTTTTTATTGATGTTGTTTTATGACCTACAAATAATGGAGTTTTGGTGATTGAAGTCAAAGCTGATGTATTCCTAGTCTTCGTGATGAGAAGGATTGTAGCCAGACTTTAAATTTAGCTGGTGCTGTATTTCAGGTCTTCCTGATGAGAAGGGCCGTAATCAGATATTACAGATACACACAACTACAATGAGGGAGAACAACAAACTAGCTCCAGATGTCAACATTCCAGAACTGGCTGTTCTCACGAAAAATTTCAGTGGGGCAGAGATAGAGGGACTGGTCAGGTCGGCGCAGTCTACAGCCATGAACAGATTAATCAAGGTATAAACTTTGAGATAGGATAAAGGTTTGTAACCTCGAGTTATGGTCAGGTCCACCCAGTCTTCAGCTAGAACAGATTCATCAAGGTATAATTTTTGAGATCAGATAAGGGTTTCTTATGCTCCCTGAAGAAAGAGCATATAGTTACCGCTTTGTCTATGCATCCATCCGTTCATCCGTCCTGTTGTCTGTCAGTTTGTCTGTCCATCATAATTTTGTCCAGAGCATAACACAAAAACTATAAGAGGTATCAACATAAAACTTCATAGGTAGATAGATCTCAACAACAAGAAGTGCTGTGCACCAGAACCATCACTCTCTTTTTGCATAGTTTGCCCTTTGTTATTTTTCTTACGTAAAGAGGTATAGAAATGTAACTTCATATGTAGATAAGTATATCTCAACAAGGAGAAATAAAGTGTACAAAAATCATAACTCTCTTATTGCCCTATGTTATTTGTTATACTTAAATTTTGTCCTATTTGGGGAGCACAACTTGTCTCTGATGGGTCTTGTAACCTATAGAGTGACTGGTCAGGTCTACCCAGTCTAAAGCCATTTGCAGACTTATCAAGGTATAAAATTTGAGTTAGAAAAAGTGTTTGTAACCTTAAGAAAAACTGATTAGATGAGTCAGGATAACTTATCAAGAGTTTGTATAAAAATGAAGAAAATATTTTGATTGCATTGTCAAGATATCCAAGTAACCTACTTGTCTGTAAAGTTTGAGCTGTTACACAGCTTTAAAGAAGTGACCAGGTATAGAAATGTCATGTTTACTTACACAGACTGTGTAGCTGTATCTAAAATCAGGCATGTATTGAAACATCATGGTCCTAAAAAGGTTAAATGGAAGTTGTTTTGCTTTGGTAACTGTTGAGTAAAATGTGATCAAATATTAAGATAAAAGACAAATGTTTTCATTTCACAAGTAGATGTACACTGATGTCATGATGCACAAGTGATACCTGGTTATTCTTATATATCATGATAATATTCAAATTGTTTGTGAAAAAATGAAGTATCAGTCTTCAAATCATTGTACTTTGACTGTTGTTGTGTTTGTTGTAAATGAATTGAGAATTGCTGTGATTTGTTTTACAGGCTACTTCAAAAGTTGAAGTAGACCCAGAAGCCATGGACAAATTGTGTGTGACAAAGATTGACTTTATCCATGCCTTGGAGAATGATATTAAACCGGTAAGTACTAGAATATGATCACACAGCCACTGAACCACAAGCACATACTTCTCACTGAAGATCATTTAGGAAGTCACCATGTGAGGTTTTACAGTGGAGAGTACTAGAATATGATCACACAGCCACTGAACCACAAGCACATACTTCTCACTGAAGATCATTTAGGAAGTCACCATGTGAGGTTTTACAGTGGAGAGTACTAGAATATGATCACACAGCCACTGAACCACAAGCACATACTTCTCACTGAAGATCATTTAGGAAGTCACCATGTGGGGTTTTACTGTGGAGAGTGTGATGAATGTCGCTTGTAAATTCTTCATCATTAGATTGATTACCTTCACACTATAGTAAAGAAATCAAGTTTAACATGTATTTGAGTTAACCACACTTCCTCCCCTACATGTAAATACATAGGATATTAATTTGAACTCCCACTTGATATATGATTTATGAAATGAATCTTTGGGATTTTTAAGTTGAGATAAAATGAAAAAAAATTGTGAGTCTCATAAATCACATAAAAGTTAACAAGTATAAGATTCTTTTCATCTCAACATAGACACCAAAACAGGTCATTTCAGCTCTATAGAAATGAAACCTGATTTCATTATTAAAATCTGACAAAACAATATTATGGTGCAAAAACATGTAAGATACAAGAATGTTACAAGGATATATATTCACTGAATATCAAGGCAAAGTTGTTTTTAGTGTCTTGTAGATTCATTTAAAATTAGATTGCTGTGCTAAACAATGATATGCAATAGCACTGGATGTTTTCTTAATCAGAATTATTTATACAATGGCATGCAACAATTAAACAAACAAACAAACTGATAGTCCTTTCAAGAAGTCTTCTGAATAGCTGTTTTATGACTTGGTTCTTATGAGAGCTTGCCTTGCCAGGATATACACATATATTCATCAAATATTGCCAAAAGTTAACTCTTTCGTTAAACCTGTTATTATATGCACACACAGGAAGTGTAATATGCTTTAATGGATGAGTTCTTGTATACAGGATTTTCTGTACACTTGTTTTGTTTTGTAGTCAGTAAGGTAAAATGGTGTTGGTTTCAGGCCTTTGGTAGCAGTAAGGAAGAGTTTGAGAAGTATGTATCTAATGGTATAATTAACTGGGGAGAGCCAGTGAATCGGGTCTTAGAGGATGGAAATCTGTTGATTGCCCAGACCAAAGCCAGCCAGACCACGCCATTAGTCACTGTTTTATTGGAGGGTAAGTCATACAGGTTAACCAGCTGTGAGTCCTGGCTTTTAGGGGCTTGAGGGATGGGGTCTTATAGGGGAAATAAAGGAAATTTTTGAAAATCATGCTGGTACTGTAGGAATCATTGGATTTTGCCCAAATTGGCGGGAAGCTTTCTTGGGTAAAGGAGAATCAATTTTGAATAAACGGTTGGTCTTAGCCTCCTTGATACAAAGGGGTGAGGCCCAATAAAGAAATAAAGCAAATTTTAAAAATCCTACTTCTCCTGGAGGAATGATTTGTTTACCATCAAATTTGGTCTGACACATCCTTATGTGAAGGGAAATCAATTTTTGTACAAATGATGGATCCTTGCCCCTCTTTTAAATTATGTTTAAAAATAATGAGTTGAGGAAGATTTAGTATAACTTACATGTTGAATTTTTTGCAGGTCCCCCTGGAAGTGGGAAGACCTCTCTAGCTGCCACCATTGCTAAAACCTCAGACTTTCCCTTCATCAAGATTTGTTCCCCAGAAAATATGATAGGTTTTACTGAAACAGCAAAATGTCAAGCCATTAAAAAGGTATGATGTCACAAACAAAAGTAAAGACAGATATGATGTAAAGGTATAACAGCCAGTGTTATACTGAGGGTACCTTTCAAGGTTTACTTTTTTGTCTTCATCAAACGTATTTTTAAATGTTTCCATTTCACTTTCACAATTTTTTATGAATCTTTGGAATCCTAAGACTCAGTTAACAGTTTGATGTGTCATTACTCGTTAACTTAATCTGGGTGTCTATATGCCAAAGTAAGAATATTTGTGTTGAATGCTTGTGTTGTCTTGTGGAAAACAGAACCAATATGAATCAATTTTTTAAGTATGTCTGTCTACAAATTGATACAAAACAGTATTTGATTTTGTTTTTGATTCAAGTTTAATCCTTTTCCACATTCAGATATTTGATGATGCCTACAAATCTCCACTAAGTTGTATCATTGTGGACGACATAGAAAGACTGCTAGGTAAGGCTTCATGTATAGACTTAAAAGCTGGAAGATAAATGTATGTACCGGTACTTTGTATTATGTGATTGATAACACAGTCTTTGTGATCATATAAATTTTCATTGCTGTTTTTCTGTTTTAAGTTCAAACAGATTTTTTATCATTGAGAATTCATATTTCATTCATTAATTGTTGAGGTTGAGATGGTACAGTATATCACTAATTACACAATTAAATGAAGTATCAAATTGTTTCAGTTGTCAATGTACCCTATATGAAATAAATCAAAGTTGATTTTTGTGCTTAGTATGTATCATATGAGATGCTGCTAATTCTTGAGTATTAACTGACTGATTGACCAAACTGTTGTTCATTTATGTCCTATTGTAGTTTAAAGTTGATATCCTGTCTATGATAAGCTATATGTATGACAGATTACTTTACATTACAGATTATGTACCAATTGGTCCAAGGTTTTCTAACCTAGTACTACAGGCACTTCTGGTGTTACTGAAGAAACCTCCACCTCACGTAAGTTATCTGGGAAACCTTACAGTCATTGTAACAGAGACAATTATTCATTTAAATGCTTCAGGTACAATTCAAACCCACAGCTTCTGGCTTACTAGTCAGACACTCTGCTGAACAAGCTAAGCAAAGTTCTGACTAGTTGAGCAGTATATTGCGGCTAGTATATACCAGAGTTACGTTAGTGTTATAAAAGAAACTCCACCTTGCATATATGGGACTTTAGAGTCATGGTATTAATGTTATAGAAGAAATCCTGACCTCGCGGAAGATATCCAAGAACCTTAGGGCCAATGATACATAAGAAAGGCATGCCTCATGTAAGATATCCGAAAACCTCAGGGCCAATGTTACGTAAGAAAGACATGCCTCATGTAAGATATTCGAAAACCTCAGGGCCAATGTTACATGAGAAAGGCATGCCTCATGTGAGATATCCGAAAACCTCAGGGCCAATGTTACATAAGAAAGGCATGCCTCATGTGAGATATCCGAAAACCTCAGGGCCAATGATACATAAGAAAGGCATGCCTCATGTAAGATATCCGAAAACCTCAGGGCCAATGATACATAAGATAGGCATGCCTCATGTAAGATATCCGAAAACCTCAGGGCCAATGATACATAAGATAGGCATGCCTCATGTAAGATATTCGAGAACCTTAGGGCCAATGTTACATAAGAGAGGCATGCCTCATGTAAGATATCCGAAAACCTCAGGGCCAATGATACATAAGATAGGCATGCCTCATGTAAGATATCCGAAAACCTCAGGGCCAATGTTACGTAAGAAAGACATGCCTCATGTAAGATATTCGAAAACCTCAGGGCCAATGTTACATGAGAAAGGCATGCCTCATGTGAGATATCCGAAAACCTCAGGGCCAATGTTACATAAGAAAGGCATGCCTCATGTGAGATATCCGAAAACCTCAGGGCCAATGATACATAAGAAAGGCATGCCTCATGTAAGATATCCGAAAACCTCAGGGCCAATGATACATAAGATAGGCATGCCTCATGTAAGATATCCGAAAACCTCAGGGCCAATGATACATAAGATAGGCATGCCTCATGTAAGATATTCGAGAACCTTAGGGCCAATGTTACATAAGAGAGGCATGCCTCATGTAAGATATCCGAAAACCTCAGGGCCAATGATACATAAGATAGGCATGCCTCATGTAAGATATCTGAAACCTCAGGGCCAATGATACATAAGATAGGCATGCCTCATGTAAGATATTCGAGAACCTTAGGGCCAATGTTACATAAGAGAGGCATGCCTCATGTAAGATATCCGAAAACCTCAGGGCCAATGATACATAAGATAGGCATGCCTCATGTAAGATATTCGAGAACCTTAGGGCCAATGATACATAAGATAGGCATGCCTCATGTAAGATATTCAAGAACCTTAGGGCCAATGATACATAAGAAAGGCATGCCTCATGTAAGATATCCGAAAACCTCAGGGCCAATGTTACATAAGAAAGGCAATGCCTCATGTATGATATCCGAGAACCTTAGGGCCAATGTTACATAAGAAAGACATGCCTCATGTGAGATATCTGAGAACCTTAGGGTGATTGTATTAATAATGTTGGAGGAGAAACCTTACCTCATGTAAGATATCTTGGAATCTTAGGGTCATTGTATTATTACATATCAGAATTACCTCTACTCACTTTGTTTTATATTTGTGATGTTTAGGGCCGGAAGCTGCTGGTGATCGGAACAACAAGTCGTAAAGATGTACTGAAGGAGATGGAGATGGCTAGCACTTTCTCCACCATTGTCCATGTGTCCAACATCTCAAATGCTGACCATCTACTGAGTGTATTGGACAATACTGAACTCTTCAACAAAGATGAGATGCATACTGTTCAATGCAAAATTGCAGGAAAGAGGTCAGTACTCAACAGGTGGTCACTGAGAGTTTACACCTTTAAAAAAACCAAATCTGTAAAGTGAGAATATCTTATATGCTAAGTAATTAAATTATTCTATAGATTTTGTTTTGGTAATCAAACTTTACTACCAATGAGGTTTTCTCTTCCACCTGTACCTCAATTTTGTGATGGATGTTTTTTGTATGTTCTAAGAAACTCACAAAAACATGTTGATTTTGTATATAAGATATATCTTACAATTAAACATGTTGATTTTGTATATAATGTTTTATATATCAAAACAGGTAAACTATGATGTAATTGTGTATCATGTTTTATCACTTGTAGTACTTATGGAAATGGCAAAACAGGTAAACTATGACGTAATTGTGTATCATGTTTTATCACTTTTAGTACTTATGGAAATGGCAAAACAGGTAAACTATGACGTAATTGTGTATCATGTTTTATCACTTTTAGTACTTATGGAAATGGCAAAACAGGTAAACTATGACGTAATTGTGTGTCATGTTTTATCACTTTTAGTACTTATGGAAATGGCAAAACAGGTAAACTATGACGTAATTGTGTGTCATGTTTTATCACTTTTAGTACTTATGGAAATGGCAAAACAGGTAAACTATGACGTAATTGTGTGTCATGTTTTATCACAACAATTATACTGACACTATCTTACCATCATCATTGTCACAATTTCTTTTTCATGACACTTTATTTGCCCTATGACCTTTTATATTCCTTATTTCAAGTGATGGTCAAGGTCGCTAATGTTCTTGAATGTGATTCTACTGTATTTCCGGAATTACATATCTGCTTGTTATGCAAAGCATTAGCATATTTTTAAATAAATGTGACATTATTTTTGCCTTTAATTGCTGTTAGTTTTCAGATAGATTGTAAGTGTCAGAAATTAGAAATCTAAAGTCAGTAGGAGAATTCACTACAGAACAAATTGTCTCAAAAAAACAGATAGTCTGCAGTTAACTAAAAGGAAGACTTAAACAATATATAGATAATGGTGTATTGTTTAAGGAGGTTTTACAAAAGTAGCAAAAAGAAAAAACAAAGAATTTCCTGAATTCATTATAGCTGTATTTGTTTATAGATTGAAGACTCTCATCGGATGATAAAGTTCCTATGTATACTAGAGGAGGAAGCGGAGTTAGAAATGTAAACACAACACTGATGTAGAAAGCAATGTACAGATGTGGGGAACATCACACAGATGTGGGAATATCACACAGATGTGGGGAATATCACACAGATGTGGGAACATCACACAGATGTGGGAATATCACACAGATGTGGGAATATCACACAGATGTGGGAACATCACACAGATGTGGGAATATCACACAGATGTGGGAATATCACACAGATGTGGGGAACAATGCACAGATGTCTCGAAAACTGCACAGATGTGGGGAACACCACACAGCTGTGGGAAACATCACACATATGTGGGGAACAATGCACAGATGTAGGGTACAACATACAGATGTGTGTGGAACACTGCTCAAATGTGGGGAACATTACTCTGATTTTGAGATCACCACACAGATGTGGGAAACAGCACACAGATGTGGGAAACAGCATGCAGATGTGAAGGAAAATACTGCACAGATGTGAGAAACATTGCTGTTTTCAGTGTTAGAAATTAAGACATTAATCAATTTAATTTATTCATGTAAAATTGATACATGACAATTATATAATGATTTTCCAGAAATTGTATGACTGGTACACAGATGTGTAAATGTTTCATGTTTGTATTTGCAAACCATTAATTCCTTACTCTATCAAAGCAAATATTTAGATCTTTGGATAAAATGATGTTATGATAATTAATGTGATATATAGATGCACATCTAGTTTATACAGTTATGGAGAATCCCCAAACCTAGTAAGTCGTAAACATGTTGTGATTCACTAGATAGAGATGTATTTACCATTAAATTTGCCTTTGAGGTTAACAGAATCATGTTTTTGTTTCTTCGACAATATATAAATATTTTATATGAACTGTTGGCTGTCCAGCTTGAAATTTAATCAGAAGCCAAGCTGTTTTATTCAGAAAGACCAAGTCTATAATAGTATTAGTTTTATTAGCTTATCCGGCCCAAAGGGCCAACTAATCTATAGGGATACAGCTGTAGACAGCGTCCATCCATCTTCTATCACCTGTTATCTGTCAGCTTTTTCTACAAAACCGCTATTAGTCACAAACAACTGAGGGGATTTTGATCAGAAGGGTCATTTGGAGAAGAGGAACAATCTTTGTACAAGCAGTGTGTCCCAGCCCTGTTTCTCGACCCCTAGGGTGGGAGCGACAATGGAGAAATAGAGCATTCCCAGTTCCGTCTGAATTATGTTTGGGTGAAGATGAATCCATTTTGTTAAAACAGTGGGTCTTGCAACCCTGGGGCTACTCTTTCTGTAGGAATGGATGGATTTTGTCCAAATTTGGTCAGAAGCATCTTTTGGTGAAAGAGAATCAGTTTTGTTTAAACAATTGGTCTTCCATTTATAAGCTTAATTGTTATCAAAACTTTTTAAATTTAAACGGGTTCTTGAATCACATTTTTCAAACTCAACATGGCGAACAAAAAAAAATATCTTTTTTATATTCAGATTGTGAAATTCCAATTTTTTCGAATTAAATTTTTAATGAAAATATTAAGAACTTTTGCCTGTAAAAATAACTAGCTCTGTGTTCGGCTTACTGCTAGGTAAATAACATAACAACAGGGTAAGCCAAACACATAGTGTACACATCCCACTGGTACAATTGACAAAACAAGGTTCGTTCACATCGATCTTTATCTACAAAACAATGACAAATATATTCTGAGTGTTAAAAAAATATAATGGCTGCGTTTCTGTAAATTTCATGTCAAATCACAGCTGTTTTACCGCAGTAAAACAAGAATAACTCTGTGTATGTGTGTAACAACTTAACAGAACTGGGTTGATTGTTGGTGAATTAAAATTCTCTAGTCATGGACTCGTAAAAAATGTTACCAGACATTCCTCCCTAAATTCAGGTTTGTTCTTCCTTTTTTATGACTGTTGAGGGGAAATGTTATTTTTTTACTCTGCTAATGCTTGATTATGTTTCATTCATTTCTACATATATGTAATTTAAGATTGCGTCAGTTCTGTCATTCTTTGTGACAAACAGCTGTTGATAAATTGTATGTATCCTGTCAGTGTTGTTAGCTTTTGCAGTTTAAAGTGCAATCTTTGGATTGTTTTCTATTGTTATTGTGCGTCATCCTTTGTTGTTGGCTGTGTGCTGTCTGTCTCTAAACATTTTCTGTTAAATACTCCTGCTAACACTTCTGCAGATTTCAGTCAAATTTGGTCTGAAAGATCATTGGGGATGGGAAATCATTTCTTAATTCAGAAAATTGATTTGACCCCTAAGGACTTGGGACAGGGCCCCAAAAGGGAAAGTTAGACAATATTTTGCTTCCTTATGCTTCTTATGGCATAAAACATTGTCAGGGAGTGGCAATGATATCAAATGTTCATGAAGTGATCCTGAGATTATCCTTACCAGATAATTTTTTCTTGCTTTGGTCCAAAATTCACCATAATTCATCTAGAACAAACAGTCTGAACTATTTCTCAATTTTCGTTCACACCAATGGAAAAAAAATATGAGGAGTTGGGTTTGTTAAGGGAAAAAGAAATGAGAGAATACCAGATTTTTGTTGGACAATGTTGTGATAAACTTTTAGTTATTAGCTCACCTAGTGAGCATATGCAATGGCATGGTGTCCATCGTTGGGCATTTATCGTCCAGCATCTATCAACTTTTTACTAAAAATTGATACTTGTCATGAACTACTGAACAGGTTTTGACCATATTTAAACTGAATCATCCTTATGGAAAGAGAAAACAAGTTTCCCAGTGGTAGGAGGGGCAGAGCCCAAAAGGGGAAATTTTACAAGATTTTTAAAAATCTTACTCTCCATAGGAATGAATGGATGTTGCCCAAATTTGGTCTTAAGAATTCTTGGGTTGAGGAAATTCAATCCAGTGTAAACATAAGTTCTGTAGAAACAATGCATCCTCGCTTCCAAGGGAATGATGGGCCCAATTGTGGAAATAGAAGTTCTTAAAAATTCTTTCTTCCATACAAGTATATTGTCGAAGTTTGATCCGAAGCAATTTTTATGAATAATGAATCTGACTTCTGTTCGACCATAAGGCTAGGACCCATCAGGGAGATTATATCAGGAAATGTTTGTCATATTTAAAATTCTTTATTACATGGCTGAGTAGCTAAATTTGCAGTGCAGGCCATTAGGCCTCTTGTTACTAATAAAATTAGTGCAGTATTTTGTATAATACACTTAGCTGAAGTTTTAGGATGTATTTATAATAACTAACAATATAACCTAATGATGTCTCCCAAAAAATAGGCTTAGAAGTCAAGGTTGCTTAAACTTTCTCAGCATGCTGACAGAGCAAGGTTGTATATTGTCCTTCAAAGTAGCATGTTGAGAGGTCATGCCACCTTTGAGAAGCAGTGATATGTAATGTACAGTCTGTGTATGTTGTACCTCAGATAACTGACTTGTGATGTTTGATAATGATTTTTGTGACTATATTTGATGGTTTAGATATTTTATACTGAAATATAGAAGTGCTATGCATAGAGTTTTGTAGTGTGTTTATCTTTTATGTATTTGAATGTTCTGTAGGTAAATTAAAGTTCGTTAACTACTTTCAGGACTTTTGTAGTCATATATATTAGCATTATATATGCCAAGGATATCATGAATGTTGCAAAATCCTATTGTCCTTCTTTAAAAACCATTATCATATTCCTCGGACATCATGATTGATCGACATATTAATTCTGGTTCTATTATGTACCATGTGATGAGGGAAGTAAAATCGTAGAAATCACACCACTGATTACAAGCAGAGCATTCCAAAGTAAGGGATTCGTTAATCATTGGTCAAAATCATCTCCAAATGTAGTGTTATATTTCAGGGTTGGGATAAGTCAGGTGGAAGGGCATTGGCCAACGTGATCTCAATTGAAGGTCTGTGGTGTAGGTTTTGACAGTCCTTACAATTCATAGTTTGTGTTTCTCAGAAAGCTGATAAATGGACCAGTTTGTGCTATTATGGTTATGTCTTCAGGCAAGACACTCCATCTCAATCGCTGTATATTGCACACGGCAGGCCTCCCAAATCTTCAGCCAAAAATGACACTGTCTGTTAACAGGGCAAAAACAAACCCAGCAAATAAACCAAGTGTTATATTCAAAATCTATCGATTAATTGAATTTTTTTTCTGATAACAATTTAAATTTGGCACTTTCCATTAATGCATAAATATT